GTTGAACAGTACATCACGTTATACAAAAATACGACAAAGACAAATCATCACACGTTTAGCATTGCCAAGGCAGTGACAGTGTGACTGACAGTTCTTTTTGCACACACATAGGCCAGGTTTCCATTTCCTGATTGCAACCGACTCCGTAAACCTAAGCCGTCGGGTTTGGTGTTAGCATAAATGATCTTAAATCGGTTTGTCGGGTCCGGACCATGATTCGTCATCAACAAGTGTTGAGCGATAGATGTCGCAAACTGTTTGTGTGTTCGGTGTCCTTGGGTAAGGGTTTTCAACGAAATAAACGGTAGGTTTCTGCCGTATTTTACCAGTTGGGATGAAGCGAAATCTGACTTGGCATAAATCGTACAACCTAGCTTTATTGTGCTCTCTCTTCAAACCTAAAGATTATTAATTTGGCAACAAACTCTATTGATATTCAATTGAATGAACCTAGCTTGACATGCTTAAATTAAGGATTGTGTCACACCCCTATGTCAAGCGATATCGTGAATATGGAATATCGGTGCCCTACCTAGATAAATGATCTACTGTGAGCCGTAAAAGTGTAGAAGGTGTCAGATATGCAAGCTATCTGCGTGGAATATTTAACACTAATCTGGGATCAGGTCCAGTAGTGAGTCATAATGTTGTATTGTACTGAAGCTTTAGCGAGTTATATACAAGCTCTCAGCCAAAAATAGACCACCGTTACAATTCTGGTAAAAAAGAGGTGAAAAAGTGGGACGCAAAACTTGCAAAAATACAAGTCAACTACAAAGTGCGTTAGAAAGCTGAGAACAAACACTTTCTTTGCCGGCCAAGATCCGGGTAAGATAGGGTAACAACGAGTTTCTGTATCCATAAATGCGAGGCGGGTTGAGTTTGTACTTAGAACAGTTGGCGGGATGGGATTTACATGCACACAAGTCTGTGTAGAGGATGGGTGCAACCAGATAGGATATTGTCAGCAGACTTGAAGCATGCATCAATATGAGCATTACACATATTGCCAATCAGAACAGATAACGGAAATTGGGAAACACGTCTGATCATTAAGAGGCCAAGCGTCAGCAACTTGAAATCGGCTTTCAGCAAACCAGGAGAAATCACAGGGGAGCAGTAAATGGGTATAGGGAGAACACATTGTTGAACAAAAACTTCTATTGCCTACAAATCAGAACAGAAGTGGCGCAGTCTTCTTATCTAAAAAAGAGAACTTTCAACTTACGAGCACCAGTTTGGGTATGTAAGGACTAGTGTAGGTTACTTTTAGGTGTGCATCCAAAGACTTTACCTGGCTGACCCTGTTCATTGGCTTTTCATGAATCTGTAGATCGTCGAAGGGAGATGAGGAACGGTTTCGAGTAAAACTACATTCAAGGCATTTTTCGGGATTAAGACTAAGAACTCATGAAGTGGAACAAGAAACGAGGTGGAGGAATTCTGATTGGTTAGATACGATAACAGAAATGGCGATATCATCAGCATACTTAAAATTCCGTACAGGGGGAGTAATAGGTAAGTGACTGATATAAGTCGAAAAAAGCTAGGGTGATAAGACAGCACCCTAATGGACACCCGAGCTATTGAATGATGCGGTCGACTGTCTTCTTCCCAATTTAACATGCTGATATCTCCGCAAAAAGTAATCAGCAAGCCATTCAAGAAGAGAAGCGGGACAGCCAAAAGATTGAAGTCAAAAGCGGAACAATAGTCAAGAAATGCACAGTGAACATATTTGGCCTTCTCATTAAGCGATTTACAGATGAAGTGAACTAGAGAAGAAACGGTATCCAATATATAGTGGTTATGTTTATAAGCAAACTGATAAGTATTTTCGGGGGTGGTACGGGAGGCGCGGAGCATATGCATCATCGATGATGCCTAACAGGCGTCAAACAACCTTACAGCTCGACCGTGCGACAAGTCGCTTGGCAAATCCACTTCTAAGCCAAGAAAGAAATTATGACAGGTTTTCTGATCAATATATCTTCTATTGCACATTCACCTTATAGTTACTTGTAGCGGTGTAGAATAAGTGATATTGATTTGAACTGACCATCCTTCACAATCACGCACAATCCTGGGTTGATCCAGTCAAATATACACTCGGGTAGCACCACAGACTCGAGTTTCATTCTCACTTAGGTCTCTCATTGGTAAATATTCACCGTCCCGTTCGGGATTAGAACTCTGGACTCATTCGAGTCTACAGTACTCGTATGAATGGATGAAACGGTGGAATGTTCGTGAAGTTGAAATCGGACATCCGTTCAGTCCGAATCAGTTCATCTTTTATTTACACTGTTCCGTTTCTCAATTATCACAATCTCTGCTGCAAATTCCAATTTTGCTATCTTTTCTTCTAAAACGATCTTGTGTGTGTGTGTGCGTGCCTATTTGGCCCCACTTATTTCACTCAAAAATTGATTGAGCCATTTGCACAAGGTGATAACTGTCGACTGTGTGGCTCAGTGGTAAGGGTTTGAAGTCCCAGCCCGAACGTTCGCGGTTCAAGTCCTGACAGGGACACAATAAGTGCGCACTACTCATGAGTCCCAAACAGGACGAAACAGCTGTCCAGTGCTTGTTGGTCACCATAAACATTTCCATCGTATTTGAATGCACTCAAATAGAGGGGAATTAACGATCTCCCAAAGAGTGAAACCCACACCTACGACCATCAATGCCTGGTGCCTTTGAACAATCGAATAATACAAATTTGATACTCTAAATTTAAAAGATTGTTTGGTTAATAATCGAAGAGAGTTTTATGTTGGAATAGGGAAAATACTGACAGCCTTGAGGAGATTCGAAACCGCACCTGGACGTTGGCTACGAATTCGCGCACCGCATGCTCTACCGGCTGAGCCACTAAGTTTACGGCGCATTAGTGGAGTCATTACCCATAGAAATTCCCTATGAATTGTTATTTTTTAATAAATTTATATAAACTCTTCCTTAGTAAACGAAGCACGCTCGTGTGTGTGTGCAGAGTTTTGATCTGGCAAATGGGAATGAAGAGGCAGAAGATTAGGGCGAACATGTCTTGAAAGCGTTTCAAGGAAACAATCAGAAGGAGAAAGTTATAGAGAATTTACCCTGGATTTATTTGTTGTAGGCCTAGCAGTCTTCCAACTTACAATCAGTTTCAGTTTGAACAACCATTAACCACGCACTTTAGTGCGCCGGTTTTGGTTGCTGTCTTTTCGGATGAAGAATAGGAGAAGAAAGGAAAGTTGAAAGTGGAGTCGAAAAGAAAATGGAGAAGTTCAGTGGTCTAACGTTGCGAAGAAATTGAGATGCACGAAACACTGTTTACGACACCTAAGGTTGCAAAGAAATTGAGGAGATGGACGAACGCCACTGTTTACGACACCCAGCCATATTGCTCAGTGTCTCTGACCATCGGTTACGATCATCCCGAGGTCCCCAGCCAGGGAGCCTAACAGGACCTATGTGACCTTCGGTTACGATCATCCTGAGGTCCCCAGCCAGGGAGCCTAACAGGACCTATGTGACCCAGTACCCTGGTTAGGGTTTTCATACCCTCGTGCCAGGTCTTAGCTTGACCACCCTTGGCTTCATTCCACTCATTACCTGCCTCGGCGGACATCGCTCGCCGTGGTAACCTACCTGGTGACATGCGTAACACATGCCCCAACCAGCATATTCTATGGAGGTCGACCACTTGCTTCAGTGGGCGACCGCGATTACCTAAAACTCTGCCCCTAACCTCAGCATTGCTCATCCGGCTGCCCCAACAAATTCGTGCAATACTGCGTAGGCAGCGGTGTTCAAACACCGATAGTGTATCTTTATCCTGTTTTCTTAATGGCTACGTTTCCACGCCGAACAGCAGGACTGGCCGAACTGCCACGGCATACACTCGACCCTTTACAGACAGCCGGATGTCGCGACGGTACACAGATGTCTGAAATGTAGGTACATTTATTCTCCTATGGAAATCACTGTAAATACACAAATACAGATAGAATCTGATTCCGTAAGCTGTGAACCATAGTCTTCCGCTAATCATTGACCGGGGGTTGAGTGGTTTAGTGCTTGATTATATGTAAATTTCGACTAAGGCTAATGGGCTGATGTGATCGGGATCATGGTGCTAGGGGAGGAGGAGGAGGAGGACAAGGAACAACATACAATCAACTTGTCTGATGACTTATTGCAGTTTCCTCTGTTCGTTCCGGAGCGTCAATAAACAAACAACAGAATGAGATTTTCATGCAACCTAGAATTTCGTTTAGCTCTGTTAAAATATGTCACACATGTATGACCGATTCCCGTCATTTACAAGGTTTTTGAGGTTTCCGCTGATGTAACTGATTGACAAAATACTTTTCAGTAGTAAACCGAGATTTGGAGGAATCTTGGTCCGATTGTACATGAAGAAACAGCGCTCGGGATATTACTCAATCTATGGCACACCATTCAATTTAGTATTGTATTGCTTTAATGAAGAAAATTTGATAAGAATCAGGATTTTTATTCAAGCACCAATGGAAAGAATTTTTCAGGACTGAAATTTGAATAAATTTCGCAACCGATCATTCGGGCATCACTAAGTAGTTACATGAGTGTACAATCCATTGTTTATAAACCCTTGGTTTTCGTGTTTTGCCCGGCGAGAAGGATCACTCATATCCTCTGTGTTCTGTGCCTGTGTGTGTGACTCTTTGTAGTTGTTGTACGCGACGTTCAGTGTTTTCCCCCTCCCGTCCATCTCAGACAGCTCAAGTTAGTCATATACTGCAACGCTAATCTTGAAAGGGAACATTATCAATGGCAGCACAGAATCGGAAATACTGCTCGTTTTTGAAAATTCACCAAGTTTGACTTGGACAATATTGGTAGTTATATACCACTGAAAAATAATTTGTGAATGATTGAATGAATATATGGATACAGCGATTCAACTTGCATCAGTATAATCATTTATACCATGCCCTATTCCAAAGTGAACGAACCACATAAAGATGATGTCAATGCAAAACACAATCCTCACTTGAACTGACAATCACTGATCGCTGAATCCCGGCTATCTCCGGATTGCGCAGTTGGGATGAATAACGTTTCACTTCTTCCTTCTCCGTGCCAAAACCATACACGGTTCGAACAAATTTGAACGCCTCCATCGATGTGACTGCGGCCTCGGAGTATGCCAATTTCTCCACGAGTAAAAGACGGTTCACAATGAAACCGAACATTCCGAAGAACAGGAGGACAAATGGTAGCAAGGCACTAGCCACGAGAGACAATTTCCAACCCTCGGTAAACGCCACAATCACGCCAGCTAGCAGACCGCAAGTATTCTGTATGAATTCGCCTAATTTGAGTCCAACTCCCATTTCTACAAGTTTGACTTGGTTTTCGATCACTGTTCCAATATCTGCGGCCGATCTGTTCTCATACCAACTGGGATCCTTTTGCAAAAGACTCTAAATCGGCGAGGGAGCGGCGCATGTGAGGAGATAAATCGAAACGTATATGTAGGAACATGTGCGAACAAATTTCGGTGCAGCAACGTCGGGTACATTTCAATGACACGACATGATACCCTGGCCATGCTTTAGTAAAGAAAATTAGGATTCTGTTCGGTACTCAAGAAACATCATCCCAGAAGGAAACTTGAGGAATGATTAAGTGCGCTCCCCAGATTTAATTTCGCTGTCAACTAATGTAACACCTTTGAAAACCATTGGTGCCCTTCGTGATTTTATTGCAACTGAGAAAATATCGCTAGGAATAGCAACGAAGAATTACAAGTAACTAATGTTAGTATGCATTATCAATCCGTCAAACAGACGAATAAGCCATAGGTTCCCCATTAGACCTCGACGGTTCTGGAAATACGTAAATGTATTATTTTGCCCAACATAGAAAGATGGGTACTTGAAGGAGTTCTGGAAATGTTCAGCAAGAGGTATTTGACATAGGAAACAAAAGAAGATTACCCCTTTTAGATGTGGCACTTCTTCGAAAAGATGACAGGTATTTATACCGATCAATATATCGGAAACAAACTTGGACGGGTCTATTTATAAACTTCCACAGTTTCTTTGAACACAGAACGAAAGCAGAATAGATCAATAGCAAAGGCAGTTTATCAGACGTAGAAGGGGAAAACGTAACACAAATTTTTTAACAAATGATTAAAGCAGTGACACTGTCATCGGTGTTCATAGGTTCACCCATAATCCGAATCAGCCACAAAGACAAGCTTCCAACAGCCCCGTTCAGGGCGATCTACCATATCAGATACATGTGTAAGGCAGGGACCGTAAACAAACTAGCCTCTGCTCAGGCCACATGTATTTACCTTCACTCATCTGAGCTATGTGCACCAAAGTAGGTGTTTCAAGCTCTTCAGTCACATTGACTTCAGGTTAATCACCAACATCCCTAGCACCCCCTTCCATCGACTTCACCCAAACACGAAGAGTATAGAAGCTTGACCACTGAATACGGAGCCTAACTTACCCAATTACTCCTGTCCCGAATGACGTTTGGAACGAGCGTAAAAATCTGTGCAGAATTCGATCAAACATGTGTTTGCCCGATTTAGTGAAGGTATAGGAACAGCCATTTTGGATTGAGTGTGTGAGTCGTGTGCATGTTTCATTGGACCTTTCGGTTTACGGTTCCTTTTGTATTTTCTCTGTCTTTCAGATTTCTCGGTATCCCCTCCACGGAGAACCTACTGTGAGCAGTGTGTTCTAATTGTGCATATAAGGCGTCAGTGAGTGCCTACGGATCGTGCGACCTTTTGGGACGATTCTAGTGATCCTTAAACTGGGAGTACGTTGCCCAGAGTCAACCGCCTGTCAGTGTATTTCGAGTGGATTCTGAACTGGGTTCGGTTCTGCCTACTGCATTGGTAATTTAAAAATCGATGCGTTTTAAGGATTAGAAATACTCTACTAGTAAATGGTTTTTCACGAGTCCTGGTTCCAGAATCCGGTTCCTGACAAAAATTTGATGCCGGTCATTGTTGTCAGCATTTGTGGTGAGCTTTGGAACGAGCGTCTCATAATTGATCGGCTAATACTACAATCTACTCTTCATTGCCTACTAAATAGCTGTAGTTTGTTAGCTTTGTCTTAGATTATTTACTCATAACTCTTGAAGTAATGCGGATAAAAGATGACATTGTGAAAACTCTCGTGAATCTGTTTAAAACTTCAATTGACATTGAAAAATGTACCTGATCTGGCCAGTGGGATGTTTATTCAAGGAGCTTTATGAAGATCCAAATGCAAATAGCTTGTGCAAGACTGACAGGGACCTTATCATCACCCTTTATGATGATAAGATAGAATAGTGGAGAGTTTTTAGTACTTCGGGATTTTGATCGTAGCTGTAGATGGTGTTGGGGAAGCGAACACATCACAAATAATGAAAACTAGGGTAGCTCTTGCCAATCTGCGTTGACCTTGGTTTTGCCACGATATCCAACTTTCTTTTAAAAGAGAAGGTTTACTTTACGCTAATCAGATCTAGCCTCTGCTTTTAGGAAGCGAATCGACTTTCAGTATTCAATGATTGGTTTCTTCGAAACATAGTTCGTGTTCGGTGGGCACGACTGGTGAGCAATGGCGAGGTTTGCCGTCGTATGCTAGGGACTAAAAGTCGTTCTCTGAAAAAAGAGTTCACCCCACACCGTCTCCGATGACGGCTGCTTCTCATTTTCTACCTCTCCGTGCTTTCTGTGTGCGTGCTCGGCAAGGCTAGAAGCAGTATCATCACGATTAGATCCTGACATGCGTAGGTCTATGAAGAAGTTAGCTTCACCATGTTCAGTTCAGTTCAGGTTTTACAACCATCAACGATGCACTTTAGTGTACCGGTTTTGGTTGCTGTCTTTTGGCTACCCATTTGGATTAAAGAGCAGAATGAGAACTGAAATGCTGAGAGCACAGTCAAAAAGATGATAGAGAATTCATATAGACTTCATCGTGGGCTTTGATTGGTGCAAGTCATCTTTCGTGTTGAAGCCCAAGGGCTGAGGAATGTCGTGGATGAGAGATGCTAAGACATAAGTAGAAATAGAAGTCAGAGTATAGAAAAATGTGCGGTCTATCGCTGATTCAAGTCCAACAGAATACATTTGGTAACCCCCAGGACATACCCATACTTTCGATTACCATGCAAAAACTTTGCTGCATAAAGAGCTAAGACTGATTTATCATATCCGCCAAATTGCTTTCAGATCAAGGGATACATTCAAGAACGATATAGTGTCAAACATTGAGTTGAGGTCCACTATTTGAGGGAAAGACAAAGAGTTGTTGTGGTTTGGATTAGTTTCAGGTTTCTACTTTCTTCGGATTTCAGTTTTATTCGTTACATCCCGGAACAAATGTGCACCCCTTAAAAGAACTCACTTCAAAGCATAAATAGTGCAATCTTCTGCGCAACCGGCTGGCTCCAACAGATAACAGAAACGCTTGCATAAAAGTTGCCGCCAACATCACGAAACCAATAACAACAAAGTAACCGACAGAAGTGCGTGTTCCAACGTAGGAAAATGCATCTGATGTGAAATTGTTGACCACATCGCGAAAAATGAGCACATTGATTGGGCTAATCACTCCGGCTCCAGCTGCAAAAATCGATCCGATCACTAGATAGGTTTTATCTCGATGGTTGGCATAACGAAGCTAAACCGTTTAGTCTGAAAATGATCAAATCGAAGATACTTACCAAACTCAAGAATCGGGATTTGGAATTTACTAATTTAGCCATTGAAATCAGCAAAGGTGTGATTTTGAAACCCATAATTTGGTATAATTTCAAGGGTCCCGTCCGAAAAGGAACTTCTACAGGAAGCCCAACGAAATGCACATTGACAATAGAAGCTGAAAGTTAAATGTACCTATTATAAGTAACATGAATTACAATTTTCAAACCCGTTTCTGTTATGGCTTTGTGTGTAAACTCAAATTACATCAAAAGTTCCACATAAATTAGCTAAACAGCCATGCCAATTCACCCCATCCAAAGCAAGTGTACACTTGGCTGCACGACTATGGGCTGTGACTTTTGGAGATCTCTTGTCGAGAGGCTGGCAGAGCTGAACCCGGATTAAGATGTGCATGGTAGTCTTTTTTGTGTGAAAAAACTACACGTGTTAGAAAGCGCAATATGTTGAGCAGATTTGAATTTACACTCGGTTGTCTTCAAATTAAAATTGGGCAAAAATATCTTGTGTGGTTAGCTGAAGACAATGAACACCTTTGATCGAGTTGAATGTTGCCCCGTCTCACCTTTGCTGATGAATAGATCGCCCGTTACTTGCCACACACTCTTGACTTCTAATCCTTCATTTATCCACAAGTCTACTGAAACGGTACACTGTTTTGCATTCACAAGCCCTGAAGTAAATCGAAATGTGTTACCACAAAAAGTAAATGCTTACCATTACAAGGCTCTTAACCGGTAGTAAAGCATAGTCCCGTTACCGAGGTCCAAGTTGCTTTCA